GCACCTAATAAAAACATTTAAAAAATAATTCGCATAAATAAATTGATCAAAATACCCCTAGAATACCAAAATGCCCCTGAAACACATTGAAATCATTGAGTCACATTTAACAAATGTAATAAATGAGCATGTTTTGAACTAACAATTGCAAAGAGTAAAAAACCATAGCAATAACATTCCAAAATCGAAATCTCATTGCCATTTATGGATAAATAAGTTACTGCATGGCTCCATTTCAGGTCCAATACCACAATAGGTACTCAAATGTGAAATTCAAGTAACTCACAATGGATCCAATTAAAAGAAGTTTAGGTTTGATATTATAAATTCACAAAATTTGTTGTTGGCTGAAGAACCGTAACACAAGTTTGGGGTGGTTAGACCCCACCTGAACCCCCCCCCCCTTTTCCCAAAAAAAAAACTTTCCTCCCCGTAAAAGCGGGAAAATGAAAAAAATACACCTTGAATGTGGGTAATTTCCGTCCTCAGCAACGGCTACCCGAGACTCTTTCCTTAGTAGAGGAGGCCCCAACTGGGCTGCAGCTTAGGGACATGGCGCCTTGGAGACCTGCCTAGGCCTCGACATGCTTAGGTGCTCGAGGTGGGGAGGGGCAGGCGCCTAGGTGTCAGTCATGCCCTTTTTTAGCATTGATATTGAAGTGAAAAGATTTGCTGCTTCTGTGAGAGGATATTGTGCATTTGCTCCCTCTGGGAAAAACTCATGTTAGGAATATTTTTCAGACCTCAAATTTTGGGGATATAACCTACGGAACCTAATAATCAATCTCAAAAAAAAAATTTAATTAGGAGTCTTTATGTGCCTAAAAAAAAATAATTAACATCCTAAGATTGAACAAGAACCATCCAATTTTGGAGGGCAAGATCTAAGGCTTCAGGAACTTAAAATCCTTATTTTTTTCTTGAAAATAAGCAATGGTGATACTACATGACTAGCTGTTGCTATAGTTGCAGAATTGTTTCATGGAATTACGACAAAGCACATCCACTTTAAAAGAGGGCTCAAAAACATATTTATTCTGACTCAGAGGGAGAGATGCACTAATAGATACAACATAGTTCTCAAAGCTGTAACTGAAGGTTATATACTTTTTTCCTTTTTTTTCCCTCCTTGATCATAAACCTCGAAGATTCTCCTGAAAAATGACAAGTATCAACGTCAATTAGAAGTTTGTAATTGCTGCGAACCAACTGATAGGATTATCTCATCAATCTATTGTTGTATGCCACATTCCCTTGCATCCTGCAATAGGAAATGGAACGTTTTCTTGCCTAAGACCACATAAGATCTTGGAGGAACTCTTTGGCAACTCACTCATGGTGAAATACTTAAGACTAATGGATATGCTCCAGCTTGGAGAGCTATTCTCACGCAATTACATTTCCATGTCTAATTGACATGATTTTTGAACTCCCTAGATTCACATTCAAAATCACGTGAATAGGGCATTGGTAGCCTTATATGCGAGGGCTTCCTCCTATATACACTTGTCTTTTGTGCAAATTCCATCCTGGCTAGGTGAAATCAATAATAACCATACCTCTTTTGCTGTTAAACAAAACCTTATGGGAAGCCCTGTGGTGCCTCTTAACTTTGGAAATTTATCTATACTCGATTTCCTTCACGAAAACATGCCTATGGGAATGGGAGAAGTAAATATCGCATAAACTCCCTTAAGAATGCTTCAAGGACTCCATGAAGCCTTCCTAGACGTTCTAAAATATTTTGTTCATGAGCTGTAGGTGAACCACAACCACTGCAAATTTCAATCAGTCTATTGCCTGCCTTCGGAATTTCTATGTTGGACATTGGTCTTTAAGATTAACTTCTCAATATCCACTTTCCTGAGAAGTCACTTGACATTTTCGTGGTTGATTGGATAGAGCTCATATTGCAGTAAATTACTCTTTGAGGGAAGTTCATATTCATAAACTATTTAACCCATTAACAAATGGCTTATGAGCGACATTATATGGTTGATTGTTTGCTGTTAACGTCCCCTCTCAAAGAAGAGGTTAGATCTTTGAAATTTTCTTTGATGTAACTGAGTTTTGACCAATGAAATCTAACTGTGATTCCTCTTGTAAGGTTCATTCTGTTGCTGGTTCGACAAGTTTACACTTTTGAGTATCTGTTCACCCCCTTTTTCTCATCTTTCCATGGACAATTTGAAACTTTTCACACATTTTCCCAATTTTTTTGGTTCTTGGAGTTTTGCATATTGGAACATCAGTGTATAAAATATCTTCTTGCCTTATGCATGTGTTACACATGTCAGTGTATATTATTGTTGTTTTTGTTTTCTTGGTTGACCGCCATTCATTGATTAATTAAGTATCCAGCTAGTTGTACTCGATATTAAGGACAAACATTAAATGCAGTTTCCCATTTGTTTATGGTGGTCTATGATCTTGTCGCATGGATCTCACTAATAAAAATTGGGAAAATTATCAAATATATCTCCCATAGTTCCCTTTATTTCATAGTTACTTTTATTTTTTTTTAAAACATCCCTACCCGTTTTCTAATATTTTTGCACAAAAGACAGTTTTACCTCCGCCACGTGTCATTACATCTGTGGCGCTTTTTAAACATACCATCGCCCCTCTTATTCTAATAAACTGCCACAGACTTATTAGAGCCATGGCGAGACCGTCACGGACCTACGATGCCCATGACGGTTTATAGGCTTCTTGGAGAACCAGGAAGCTTCGCTGGAGGGTTCCATGACCTTTGAGCCGCAACAGACTTATAAGAGCCTAAGACTGTCATGGGCCTGCTATGTACGTGACAGTTTATAGGCTTCGTTGAACACCAGAAAGCCTAGCTGAAGGGTTCCGGGAACCCTTCGAGCCGCCACTGATCTATTAGAGCCGTGGCGAGGGTATGTTTAGAGAGCGCTACAAATGTAATAGATCCGTGCCAAGGGTAAACGTGTCTTTTATGCAAAAATACTAGAAAACGGGTAGGAATGTATTAAACAAAAAGTAAAAGTGTCTTTGAAATAAAGGAAACTATGGAGGATATTCTTGATAATTTCCCTAAAAATTGCAGAACTGGCTTTGGAAGGATTTCAGTTTGGCGATTCAACTCTAGCAATTTGGATTTAGGAACAAAATATTTGTTCGTTTTATGCTTCTGAGAATTAAGACTCATAAGATCTCTGTATCTGTTGGTAGGCATGTAGCCTTCAGTTTCTGTGACTCTGGATTTCGCATTGTAGAGTGTTGAATATTGTATTTTTACATTTTCAGATGCGCTCTGGTTATGGTCGTTCCATATTTGGACCACTTCTCCCACTGATTTTAGGTCGTGATATTAGTGGTGAAGTTGCAGCTACTGGAGCTTCTGTTCGTTCGCTGAGTGTTGGGCAAGAAGTTTTCGGAGCTCTCCATCCTACAGCAGTTAGAGGTACCTATGCTGATTATGCTGTACTTTCAGAGGACGAACTTGCGCCAAAACCAGCATCAATAACACATGAAGTGAGTGCTGTTCAAATATTAATCACCATTGTCTAGAAATTGAGCTCTTGACAAATGATACCGTCCAGAGCACCATCTCAGAAAAATGACTAATTGTAGTAGACAAAGGTGAAATCCATTGTGGCTCTTGGGTACAAGTTCCGGAAATAATTCAGGTTTTGGCTGGGAGGGAAATACAAGTCACCCTCACAAATACATTTCAGAATGGGCTTGAAACGATTGACAAATGAAATGAAATGAATATCTTAAGGATTCTTTTTAAACAGTTGAGTTTTCTATTGTTGAAGGCTGGGTTTTTTTCTTCTGTTTTCTTTTGTTGTTAAATACTTAATTTTCTTTTTTTTTTCAATTTTTTTTATTGGTCTTAATGCTGTTTTTAAACATTCTTATTTATTATGCTTTTACAAAGCTGACCCCAATTAATTGGGAAAAAGGCTAAAATGATGAAATGATTATGCTTTTACAACTCACACTTTTGCATGTCAATCTGGGTATGCAGTTGCTGAAAATGAAGCTATTTGAACTTCTGTACGAATTCCCCCCCCCCCGGTTGCTCCTCTCACCATGAATGGACTGGTTTTATCATTGATAAAACCATGAAAGTTAGCTTCAAAAGGAAACCAAGTCTCCTGATGTACTGTTTGAGGAACACTGAGGACTGATCAAATCTTTATTTTTGTCTCCAACCAAAAAATCAGCCCATGCCATGCACTTGGCTACTTTCAATTAGATCTGTAGTTACCTTTGCCAATCTCACCCCCTTTCTGAACAAAGTGAAAACTATTTATTCTCTCTTTTATCATTCAATCCTTCATGGGATGTGCAGATTCATGTTAAAGCTCAGTTTTGTCATTCATGTCTTCACCAGCTAAACAACTCCATGTACTGTGGAAAAGACATTATTCTTATTTGGGTTCTAAGAAGCAATCCAAACCTTTCATCTGGACTACACGACCATTACGTTGACAAACCAACCTGGAGAGAAAGCTAACCATAGGGAATCTGATATTTGAGCACTTTGATACTTGAACCCAATTACATTTTCCCCATCAGTTCACCATGGAAAGAACATAGTGTAAAATTATCAGATGAGGGGGGCTCCTGTATTGGTCTGTCCCTGATCGCTCACTTGGTAATATGTACAGTTTATGGAAGAGCAAAACATTGGATCTCTTTGTTGTTCCCAGGGCTTCTTTTCTATGACAACCCTAGACCTTTGGCAGAGAGATAAACACTGAGTTAGAGGAGTGGGGAATTGCTGTTGGTACATACTTTTGAGTTCAAATACCTTTGAATCATTTCCTTTTGGAGGTTTATTACGTCTTGGAAGGAGAATCTAGCTTCTAACTTAAAAGTAATACGTTTTTATGATGCTCTCAGCACTTGCTAATATGCCCCCAAACTCTCATATTAATGAATGAAAGCTTCTAGGAAAGATGCAGCGACCACCTCATTCTTAACTATAACGGTTAGTTCTAGGTTCTAACCTAAACTATGTAACCGTATATTTACTCTATGTAATGTGCTAATTATCATGTTAATTATTGTTTAAATTTTAAGTGGAATTAGGAAGAACTGATGTATATCGCAATCATTTCTTGCTTCGAATAGATAGTTATGGGTCAATTGACAATTCCAATTCGAATCGAACAATTCGGTATATTTTACATTCATAGGAGTACATCTACCAACATTTTCTGTTGCTTTCTGTCTTGTAGATCTTATTTCCTTTAATTTTTTCATGATTCATGAAGGAAACCTTCTTGGGTTGAGGTAACAATCAGCTCCAATCTAAGCTAGAATGACTGGTTGGTTCTAGGTTTTTATTCGTAACTCGTTGCCATATTTTCCTCTATGTACTAATGCTACTCATTGTTTAAAATTTAAGTGACATCTGAGTAACTGATTTTCTGGAATAAGTGATGTTCATATAGAGTTTTCTATTGCTTTAATCTTATATACTATATTTTTCTAATTTTTGTAGTTGTACATCTTTCTCCATATAAAGTCACATGGGTTTTTCCAGATGGTAATTAGGAGAGCGCATCTTACTCTTATTATTATCTATTGAGATAAGCACAGAAAAAGCCCTGCCTCTGGTATTTTTTGATCATTTTAATGTGTCAAGCTTTATCTACGTTCAACTGTCATAGCCTTATCAGTCATCAAGTATGATCTCGTGGCTTGTCATGATAAAGTTGTTGCAAATGATTCTTATAGTTTGCCTTTTCCAGGTTGTCACTCAATTTAATGCTTTATCCCTTCAGTTTGAGATGAAATATTAGTCAACAGAAAATAAGATATAATAATGCTAATCATTCTCATTGAATGAAGAGCTAATCTTATTTCTTCTGAACCCATTTCATGGTCTGAAGGAAGCAAGTGCTATTCCCTTTGCTGCACTGACTGCATGGCGTGCGTTGAAGAGTACTGCTCAGATCACAGGAGGGTATGTTTTGGCTATATATATGTCTTCACAAAGAACTGTAACAGCACAATCGTTAGAATTATACCTGATTTATTCGTGTCAGAGCAGCTTGGGAGCATGTAACATTCAGTTCAATCTTAATCATAATCTGTGGAAGTTGTTGTTGGAAATAACTGAAATAGCTATTCATGTTACGCCAACATTCATTACATATTGGTAATCCTTCTTTTCTGATTGTATATTCCTTCTTAGAGGCTTCTTCATTAAGAATGCCACCGATCATGTGTTACACATTGTACTAGTATTTATTTCTTCTTATGTACTGTTTTCTTCATATGACTTGTAAGTTAAAACAACCATCTTTTTTTTTTTCAATTCTTTTTTGTGACATACAATCTCTCTAGATATATCTTTAACTAAGATATGAATAGATGTGTTTCTACCTTTATCCTTTACATGCACAGTGACACTATGTCTGTGTAAAAAATTCCTCCCTCATCCTAGAGTTAATTTTACACAGAAGGAATTGGAAGAGAATAAAGTCCTGTGAAGCCTCAATTCCTCACATTCCAATACAATGTTATTATTATTATTTTTTTTTTATTTTACAGAAAAGGTAAAAGTTCATATATAGGCAAGAGTCAAAGAGGTGAATTTTCCCGGATTTGGCAGATTAGGCAGCAGGACTGAACTGTGGAGGGCACATAGATGATCAGATATGACAGGTGTATTGTTGACTTGTGAGAAGTCTCTTTTTCACTGATATAATTAGTTAGCTCTGGAGAATTCCTGTGAATTACGAAGTTAACTTTAGTGAGATCATTAGGATGACTGGATCCTGCTGGGGACATGGGGAGTTTCAACAGGCAAGAATAGCATTAGGGTGGTGGTTAAAGTAACTCAGTTGGAGGCAATGACTTTGTAGTGAAGCATTGAAATTCGTGTGCCACGTCTCTCTTGTCTACTAGTAACCCACTGTAGATGCCACTGATGGATTACTAATCATGTTTTGCAAAATCCAGGACATTTAAAAGCTATATGAGTTATTTGTGCTAGCACAAATAAAGAGAATCCAATAACTTCAACTAGCTATTTATCTAATCTAGGTATGTTCTGGATGATTTTTGTCCTTAGTGGTAAGGCCATAATGTCTTTTGTTTTTCCAAATTGTAGCTATGCAAAGCATGATGATGTTTATCATATCTTGTGAAATCAGAAGTAGGTCGGTTGCGTCATTTATGTCCTGTCTGGGTTTTGCGATTGGAATGCGTCCATCCTATTTGCAACGCATCAGGCTATGTTTGGCTGATTTGTTGCTCAATCATGTTCTATATTGAGCCGATTCATTTGGATTGCGTTAAAAGGCTTTGTACATTGGTCTAAATACTCCCAGACGTGAATAACTTTTCTTTCTCATGGTGTCTTTATGATATATCAGCTGTTTTACTGTACCTTATTGGGTAACCAATAGTACCATTTATTCCCTGATTTATTTTCGCCTCGCTTAGCTTTTTTATTCCAGATAATTCAATTTGAACCAATTTTAATGATGCACCTATATGTTTCTCTTCCCTTTTTAATGGAAATTCCTTCTATGGATCAATAAAATAAATAAATACATTGCTTGATTATACAAGTGACTATCCATCATATTGATAACTAGAAAGAGTGGGTATCCAACACAGCATGCATGAGTATCCGTCATAATTGTCACAATCTTTGGCATATTAAAAAAAAAAAAATGACAATCATTGACTTGCCTATCCATCGTGTTAATAAATATATTGCTTCATAATATCAAATGATCAATTGAGTAATTATACAAGTGACTATCCATCATATTGATAACTAGAAAGAGTGGGTATCCAACACAGCATGCATGAGTATCCATCATAATCACAATCTTTGACATATTCAAAATAGAATAAAAAAAATCACAATCATTGAATTGCCTATCCATCGTGTTAATAAATATATTGCTTCATTGTATCAAATTATCAACTGAGTATAAAAGATAGCATACATGATTATCCATCATAATCAGATTTTTGGTTGACCTATCCATCGAATCTGTCCTTACATTCCTTCTAAGTTGCTTCTGATTTCGGGGAATTTTGCTCATCTGCTGGCTTCTCACCAGTTGGCATGTACAGCTACTTTTCTTGAATGAAAGGGTACATATCATCAGATCACAAAGCTGTATTATTGGTAACAGATTGGTACTGATTTGCTTAATCTTCACTGGCAAATTTTGTTTTTGTCCTTCTAAGATTAGGACTTCTTTGTTGTTGTATTAAAACTATTGGCCTTTCCTTGATTTCTTGTGTGACACTTTCATTTGTTATTTGAAAAGCCCTCCTACTGGTTTTCGATGTGATCTCTATTCTAGTTTTCTCGAATTCTTTCCCATGGCACTTATTGATAATAGTATATTCCTCTAATTATATAAGACAATTATGAGACCAGCTTTGCTCTATGGGGCCGAATGTTGGGCGGCGAAAAAACAATATACCCATAGAATGAGTGTAGTGGAGATGAGGATGTTGAGATGGATGAGTGGCAAGATAAGAAGAAATAGAATTCAAAATGAAGCTGAAGGGCAAGTTCTATAGGACAGCAATGAGATCAACTTTGCTCTATGGTGTTGAATGTTGGGCGGACAAAAAACAGTATAACCATAGAATGAGTGTAGCGGAGATGTGGATGTTGAGATGGATGAGTGACAAGACAAGAAGGGATAAAATTCGAAATGAATCCATTCGGGAGAATTTAGGTGTGACATCAATAGGCAATAAGATGAGAGAGAGTAGACTTACATGGGCTGGCTATATGTGGTGCCAATCAAGTACAATACCTGGTAGGAAGTACGAGTTAGTTCAAGTAGTAGTACTTAAAATGACAAGGGATAGGCCCAAAAGGACGTGTATGGAAGTAGTTCGAAAAAATATGGGGACTTATGGCCTCACTTAAGGTATGACCTTTAATAGAGTAGAATGATGGACTGGGATTCCTGTAGCCGACCCCAATTAATCGGGAAAAGGCTATGATGATATTCTTCTAATTATAAAAAGAAAAGCACACTATTAGTAATTTATCTTGATGTATTATTGAACTTGTGAGGTATATAAACTCATATTGCTGTTGCTGTTTTCTTTAGTGAAAGGCTTTTGGTATTGGGTGGAGGTGGAGCGGTTGGACTGTCTGCAATTCAACTGTCCGTGGCTGTGGGATGTCATGTGTCAACCACCTGCGGAAAGCAAAGTATTGAATGGGTTTTGGCAGCTGGTGCTAAGGAAGCGATCGATTACACTTCTGAGGTAAATCTAACTGTTTAATAGTAGGTTTACACTTTGTGAAGTAAAATCGTTCTACTTTGTGCTTCCACTTGCCATTGATATTCAAATTGCACACACTGGATGTGTCACCTGGACAGGCTTGGGTCTTGCTGATACAATTTATTTAAAGCACATAAACATCAATCTCTAAGGCACATGAACAATATCATGTATATGAGATGCAACTATAATATATTCATGGCCTTAGGAAGTTGAAGCTTTCCTTACCTAGGGTCACCTCAAGTGATGGCTTGGTGTTTTCATCTGATGATTTATCCTCGCATAATGAGGTTCTGAGGCATGCTTTCTGTTTAGGGGTATTCTGTCCTTTTCTCCCCAAAATGGTTGAATGCCTTTTCTTTTCCTTTTTTGTTTATTTGGGATATGGGAAGGTGGATAAAGATTGTTTGCATCCTTACGGGCTGATCCACAATAAGAAAAACACTAGTGCCAGCTCCAATGCAGGTAATTTTCCTGTTTGTGATATCTATTAACACAGTGTACAATGTGAAAGAGGCACTAGAAATAGTGCTTTATGAGACCTTATGCTCTATAGGATAAGCACGTGCCTCCTGAGGATGTATGCACTATATTGTATAGTGTATACTTATTGTAGATAAAGGGATGACCCTTAATAGGGCAGAATGATAGACGAGGATTCGTGTAGCCGACCCCAAATAGTCGGGAAAGGACTTTGATGATGATGATGATGATACCTATTGTAAATACTATATTGGTTCCTGCTGTATATGGTAGATTATGCACCATAAAACCGCAGCAGTTTGTGCAACACAAAAAAATAATTAAGCATTGTGATAGTATCGAGCATGGGCTTCATAGACAATTTGTGCGCCCTAAGTGCTAAGGCACAACAATAAAAACATAGGTATGTTTCTGCTTCAGAGCACCATGTTGGTGGTGCCTATTTGCATATTATTCTATGCCACATTGACAGGACGCGTTGCCTTAGGCTCACAAGAAACAAGTGTGTGTGTGTTGTAAGGAGGTACTCATTATTTGTCACTCTCTTCCTTGACATAGTAAATTGCCTGAAGATTGTTGGAAATTGATCACCTTTCATGTGGGGTTCCCTAACACTGTCAAATCTCAATTGCATAAACCTATGAATTTTTAGGTTCTAAGCCTTGACATGTCTGTCTTGACACACATTTTATTTGAGTCACCAGAGCATAATTCAAAGCCTCCCCTAAAATTGGTGTGACATATTTTATTTGAGCCACCAAAGCATAATTCAAAGCCTCCCCTAAAATTGGTGTGATATGTCTATCTTGATGCATATTTTATTTGGGCCACCAGAGCATAATTCGAAGCCTGCCCTAAAATTGGTATGCTATGAAATACAATATAGGTATAAAATGCTAAGAAAATTCTATATTTCTTGTGCATGGTAAAATCTGTTCTTTACTTGAGTTTAGGATGATTTTGTCATTGATAGGTGAAGAGTTAAATATTCTTTCACTGCAGATAACATTACTGAAGCAAATATTCATTGATTACTTTTGTCAATCATTCTAGGATATAGAAGCGAAGCTTAAAGGAGAGTTCGATGCTGTGTTAGACACTATAGGTGCACCAGAAACAGAAAGGATAGGCATCAACCTTCTGAAGAGAGGTGGACATTACATGACACTACAGGCATGCAGTTCTTGAACTGAGCTCAGGTGCATTTTGATATTTGCCTTCATTCACTAATGTCATTTTATTGTAATGCAGGGAGAGACAGCATCCTTGGCAGATAGGTATGGATTGGCTGTCGGCATTCCAATGGCTACTGCTATATTGCTGAAGAAGCAGTTTGAATATCGATATTCCCATGGAATAGGTATGATGTTGGGATGTTATGTGACGACATGTTACTCAATATGCTCCTTTATACTCCCAAGATAAATTTTTACTTCCTGGAAGTCCTAAAAGCAAACCATCATTTGTTATCCGTTTTCCCAAATTTTCAAATGAGCTTTTTGTACGAAATAGAAGCATATTAATTTAATTACCAATGAAGTTATTATTAGTGAAAAAATCTTGCATTCACCAGATTTTGTACATAATTTATCATACAATAGTACACCTAGTCTATTTGTAAGATAACGTGGATACTTATTTGGTTCATACTTGGAATTTGATCACTTAGTAGTCATTTTTGAACCATGTTATGTAATATAAATTGTAATGTCCTACATACCCATCGGGTATAAATTTGGCGTCTCGAGATCATCGCTGGGTTCCTTGGACTTGACGTAGAGGTAATTGGTTTGTGATTGTGATACTGTTGTTTTACCCAATGTTATTAAGCTGGACCGGACTGAACCAGCTGGCTTGGACTAGGAAACATGCATTGGTGGCCTAACCTCTGCCAGGGGTCTTACCGGGGTGGAATGAAATGGTCAAAACCAGTCTAAAGCTAGTTCAGAATTGTGCAAGTTAGATTGGTTTTGATCATTTTTTTTTTTGTATTTGTATTTTGTAGACAGGTCTGACAACACTTGTTCCTAATAATTTTAGGATTTTTTATTTTCTAACATTTTAGGTTTTTCCTATTTGGATTTTTCATTTTTTCCAAAATTTATTTGGATTTTTCATTTTCTATTTTCAATTTTTTTTACAAGTCCGTCCAGTGAACAAAACCTGTTTGACCGGTCTGACCAAACTGGTGCCCCCATCAGTTCAACCTTTGCTCTAGTCTTAATACATTTGTTGCACCTAGTACTTTCCTATTCAAGTAGAAGTCCAATTTATTTATTAACTAAAAATAAATATAGAGAAAATATTATATAGTGTCGTAGTAAGTGCACTAGTGTATTGCATACAACATAAAGCAAATCATATTGTATATTTTTTAGTAGTATGCACGTATTGAATTCTGCAAATTGTTATAATAACTTCAATTATTAAGTTTATTATGGTGTGAACTGTTTCGTTATTATTTGCTTATGATTTAGGGAAATGTATATCATATACCCTCCCCCAGACTAAGATAGAGTATATGGAATGTAAATTTAGTAATAATAGGAGTAGAGACGACGAAGTAATTAAGATTGTCGACGAGGAAGTACAGAAAAGACTGTATTTTCGATATCTTTGGTTGATAATTAAGGAAAATGGAGAGATTGAGCAAGATGTCACACACAGAATCAAAGCTGGGTGGGCGAAGTGGAGATGTGCAATTGGAATTTTATGTGATCGCCGCATACCAGTGAAGCTGAAGGGCAAGTTCTATAGGCTGTGAGACCAGCTTTGCTCTATAGGGCTGAATGTTGGGCAAATAAAAACAATATACCCATAGAATGAGTATTCGGAGATGATGATGTTGAGATGGATGAGTGACAAGGCAAGAAAGAATATACTTTAGAATGAATCCATTGGGGAGAATTTAGGTGTGGTTCCCATAGGAAATAAGTTGAGAGTGAGTAGACTTAGGTGGTTTGGCCATGTGTGGCGCCGACCAAGTACAACACCTGTCAGGAGGTGCGAGTTAGTTCAAGTGAAAGGACTTAAAAGGGCAATGGGTAGGCCCAAAAGAACGTGGTTGGAAGTAGTTCGGAAAGATATAGGGACTTATGGCCTCACTGAAGTATGACTTTAAATAGAGCAGAAGGGTAGACCAGGATTTGTATAGCCGACTCCAATTAATTGAAAAAAAGCTATGATGACGATGCCCCTCCTCAAAACCAAGGTATAAAAAAATACCTTGCTCTAATACCCTACATGCAGCCCCAAAGGGCAACAACTTTGTCATTATTGAAGTTTGTAGGACAGCAACTTGTATTTATTTGAACTTTGTCCTATTTTTTTGGACCAGTAACAGTCTGCTTCAATATGATTGCAGCCACCACAGGTTTGACATGCCACCCTACTATACCCTGGATTTGCATTCTGAGGATAGTAATTGGGCGCAGGAAGGAGGCCATAACTTTGATCTGGTGGAAATGGATGGAATCGGCTTGCTCTTCCATGATTTTTATTACCACCAAACTTGTCTACCATTAGATGTTGTAGGGTTGCTGGCTGTGACTAACACGCCATGATAATCTTGATTCTGGGTGTATTCCATTGTAGGCTGGTTATGGAAGAGGAACACATTTTGTAGTAACAATGGGCACAGCTCTAAAAATGTGAGAAATTGTGGTGTAATGGTGACTGAGGTGAGGAACTTTATCACTGGCAAGTTGTTCGATCATGGCAAGCTGATCGCAAAGTCCTTCAATTATGTTATAATATTCCATGATCTTCATCTTTTCTTGCTTGCGTTGTTGAAGTGCAAGCTTCGAGTGCATCATACGTGACTCTGACTCCTGTGAGAAGGATACATGCCTTTTGTAGTTCTGTAATTGTGGGCTTTCCAATGACTTCAATGAGGATTTCTTCAGAGAGAGTTACACTGATCCGTCCGATGAGTTGATATCAGTAACAACCCGTTCTTCGTATGCGATATTTGTGAATGAGACTTCTTTTGTTTTTCCAAACTCATCAAAGAATTTCAGAAGTTGGTTTTGAAGAACCATCTAAATGTCCCATAAGTTTCTCAGTACCAATGAATGATTCGATGATCGCTTTCCATGTTATGAAATTGGGTGATGTCAACTTTCAAGTGACCATAGAAAATGTGTTGGACGAAGACATTATGTTCGATTTGTAATTGAGAAGAAATAGGAAGTGGTTGCTGGAATTTCAAGTGCGTGATGGCCTAAAAAAAGAAAATTGAGCATGTGGTGACCAAGAGGAAGAAAATTTGGCACATGATGCCGTAGGAGGATATTAGAGAATTAGGGGATGCAAAGGAGAGATTTCAAGATTTTGTTGATAGAAGGAAAAAAGAGGTGCTGGATGCTAGGTGCTTGTTGCCCTAGAAAGACGAAACTAGGCGAGTGAAGCCCTAAAGAAAGAGATTTGGGCACATGATGCCCTATAGGGATGGTTTTATGGACTGAATCATTATATATCTAATTTCAGGGGAAGTATGTGGACCAATCTCATAGATATTTTCTCCTTGAGGATTTATTCCCGAGGGGGAATTTATGGTCTCAATCTAGTAAATCTAGCCTTCCGAGGGTGGGTTTTGGGTTTTTTTTTTAATATGATAACTCTGGGTGGGTTTTGGGTTTTTTTTTTAATATGATAACTCTGGGTGGGTTTTGGGATTTTGAATAAGAATATGAAACCCTAAAAGAAAAGAGAACTAGGGTTTTGAAGAGAGTGGTAGAAAAAAAAAGGGCATGTAGAGAGAATTTTTTTTTTTTGGATAACATATAGGGAGAAAATTATGGTTTAAGAGGAAGAGATGCAAAATCTTATGTTAGGGTTTTGTGGGGAAGAATGAATAGTGTTTGCTGAGGGAAGTTTGAAGAAGTGACTCCTGTTTGCTGAGAGAAGATTGAAGGCGGCGTTGGCAAGAGAGAGGGCAGAGAGAGAGAAGAGTGCATGAAATCCCCCCTTGAGATTTTACTTCAGGGTGCATCCCTTTCTTATTAAGTATGAGTGACATCATGGTACATGACACTATAAAAATGCGTACAATATGCATTACACACTAAGTGCATATTCTTAATAGTCCATACTTGTCAGACAAATTGACATTGTAACATGAAGTGTCATTTGTCAAACTACTGATTAGATAGCACTTTTTCTATAAGAATTCAAAAAAAGTATCTCTCTTGGAACTTGAGTCCATGACCTTCCCATAAAAGTATGTCTTTTGAATGACTTGAACCCCCAAACATTCTGTAAATTGTATGTAGAATATATGTGTATATTAAATTTCTATAAAACATACTTGTGTAGACATATCTGGCGGTATTGGTCTTTTAGCCCAATGTACTAGACACCTTTAACACGTGAGACATTTTGTAGCTGTTTCAGGGTAGTAGGGTTGTTGTTTGGTTAATGGGGCCTTGGTTTTTGGATTCACTATTTAGACCTCACCATGCTACCAACTAGGACTTTTATACTACGGCTCTTCTGTTTTTCCCTTGACAGGCCCCTGACCAATAATACCATTTGTGCCTAATACATGTGGCTGTATTACTTATGAGATCCCATTTCTACATATTTGTTGATGCTTCTGCATGTTGTTGATGCAGAGTATTGGTGGACTTACATGAGAGCTGATTCAGAAGGACTCGAAGAGATTGCGAGACTAGCAGGAGCTGGGAAGCTGAAAATACCTGTGGACAAGATATTCCTACTCTCTCAAGCAAGGGAAGCCCACGAAGCAAAAGATAGGAGGCTTGTTCCCGGGAAAGTGGTGCTCAATGTAGACTGATAAAAAAGCGTGAGACTATTAACTGTGAATATATCATTCGTTTCAAGCACTAACATAATAAAAGAAAGGGGTGAGTTAATAATAATACCAGGAGCTTATCTTAACAAGGCAAAGTGGGACATTGAATGTTGAATTTGAGTTCATGGAGTGATATTAATTTTGCTACATGCCTGAATATTTCAGATTTTTTTTTTCAATTCTTTTTTTTTTTTTTTTCTGCTTTGGTAGTGTTTGGTATATAATAAATTACATGTTGAAAACTCTCTTTTTCTTTTTTTCTCTGTGTTCTTGGAAGATGGACGGTTATCAATTTGAACAAATGTTACAGAACTAAATATTCAATTGATCAAATTTCAATTTTTCTCATGTTATGAGGATACAAGTGGTCTTTGGCTCTTTGCTACTTGGACTGGATTTCATTTGCGAAATTGCCAAAAAATCCTCTTTAATTTAAAAAAAAAAACTGATTTTTTTGAAAAGCACTTCATTCCTATCTTTTTTCAATGGTTCATTTCTTTTAGCTAAATACCCTTCACGGATCTAATAGTATCGAAAAGGTCATCATGGTTCTGGGTAGGGTCGTGATGCTCATAAAGCTCATTTAAATATTTTTAAATACTTCTTAGGATTCTAGGAATTCACGATGGGGCATCACGGTCCCTATTAGGATTGTGATGCATCGAAGATGATGGGGCATCACCATCCTGTAGATATGAAGGTGCATCCTTAGTGTGAGGGTACACCCAAGTAGATCACACCCATTTCATGTTTGATTTACGTTATTACATGAAGGAAGATGCGGAGATGTTGAAGAGGGGTTTACCCTATTATGAATGACATGTACTATGCATTATAAGGGTGTCCATTCATGATGAGGTTATTTCCACATGAACGAGAGGGCCTTTTCTCTCATTATAAAACTCTCATTATAAAACGGGGAGGGGTGGAGGTCTCTATACACAACACACGATAAATGTGTGAGAGGTATGAGAGCTCTTATTGTCATAGAGAGAGTGTGTGAGAGAGAGTGAGTAAAATCCCTCTCCCATTCGAGTTCTAAGGATGGAACCTATCTCGAGAGATAGAGTTGTACGTGATAGTCAAGCTAGGACTGCTTTTCAATTGCATTTGTAAGAGTGTTTGTAAGCTTTTCACCTCGTTTGGGATTTGTAGTGTGCAACAGATTTTGACAACTCTAGTAGTTGTTAAACGTGCCTACAGAAGTTGATCATTCCTCTCTACCCTCGTTCACCATAATTTTTTTTGCAAGCACTCAGGTATGACACTCGGTTCCCGATTGTTTATTTGCTTTCGCTTCGGTCATTGGATTATATTTTTCTAACATTGGTATCAGAGCCATCATAGAACCGGGTTCCCAATTGTGCTCGCATTATCATGTTCACTTTAATTTTTTTTAAGGCTCAATTATGGTTAGCCTATAATATTGCAAAGTGCACATGATGGTTATATTAAAACCATGAGAATATGCATTATGTAAACTTATGTAGCAAGCACATAGTCATGCATGCCTTAAGCATTGAGGAAGTGCCAGTCTTATGTATGAGCTAAACAAGTTGATGCCTCCTAGACTATGAGCATCATGGCTACTTGATTTTTATAGGCATCACATGCTAAGCCATGCATGATAGGCTCTACTCTTCTTTCTTTTTTTGCTTTTTAAGGCGTAATACAAAGTTTTATTTTAGTGGAAGTGCATCTAGGAAAGTGCATTGCTTGCAAATTGTGAGGTATTTGAGATGTAGATTCAAGAAATAAACTTGGTATTGATTACAAGCAAGAGCTCAAGCCATGCGAAATTTTCATATCAAGACTTTTCAGGGTCAAGTTTTCTTTTTTTTTTCCAAATAACTAGATAATTAACGAGCATAAAAATGATAATCTTAGTGCAATCATGGATCAAACAAACTATGAAATATCCATATTAATAGGTGCAATTTTGTTGTTTTGAGTTAGAATGACTTTTAAAAATGTGATCGTGGATCTCATTAAAGGTGATAAGTTGAGTGGAAGCAAATTTTTCCTATGTGGTGCAAGAAAATGCAATACCTTCTAAATGAGCATGGTACTCTTGAACACCTAGATACCATTAAGCAAAAACCTGAACAAGATGCCACATAGAAACTTCTCCGTGAATATGAGGCATGGGATAATGCTGACTGTAACACTTGCTTTACTTTGTTAAGTGCTATGGTTGGTGACCTCATTCGTGAATTCGAGGGATTCATCACGGTGAAGGCCATGTGGAATGTGCTTCAACAGAAATATGTTGGCTCTTCCGTTGCTTAGTTACGAGCTTTATCTATGGCTTTTGAGACATACAAAATGCCTCAAAATGTGTTGATGGCAGACCATGTACGAAAATATCTCAAATGATACATGACCTAGAAGCAATTGGAAACAAATTCAGTCACAAGCAATAGATGCTCGGATTGCTTAGGTCTCTTCCAGAATCCTGGGAAAATATCAAGTCACTAATGTTGCACAATGAAACAGTAACAACTTTTTCCTAGCTTTCCCATCACCTTGAGATAGAAGCTGAGTTATGTTCATTTTCTGGAGTTAGCCTCGAGGCTGTAAACCTCGAGGTAAGTTTAGAAATGAGGCACCTCAAAGGAATGAGCAACCTAAGCTAGAGGCTGAGGAAAAGAAAAAGGTTAGGCATAGACGTGGGAGGTGCACAAGCGACAAATCTAAAATAACTTGCTACAATTGTGAGAAGAATGGCTACTATGCTCGCGAATGTCTTTAACCTAGAAAGGTACGAACTGATTTCCCTAGCTATGTAAATGTTTGCACTCAGATGTTTGTTGCCCATTCAAAATTTACTGGGTGGATTGCGGATTCAAGAACGACAAGGCATATAGCAAGGGATTGAGCTCCACACTTTGTCATTTGAAAGTCAGAAGATCTTCATGGGGAATTGTGCATAAGAGGATGTGCTAGGGGTTAGAACTTATCAACTCCGATTCTGAAGTGGACAAACCCTTCTTCTCCATGACGTCCTCTATGCTCCTCGAATAAGAAAAAGTTTACTTTCAGTTCCATGTTTAGTTAGAGACGATTGCTTTATCAATTTCATGCTTAATTATGCTACCTTTACATTTTCATATGGTTTTCACTGTTATGGCCAAATTATAAATGACTTATTTATTTTGGATAATGATGATGTTAATTTTTTACTTCCTTCTACCTATATGACACCTTCATCGTTTTCCACCTCTTATATTACACGCAACTCCATAATGTGGCATGCTAGGCTTGCTCATATAAGAAAATATATAAGAAAATATAGGATGATTCGATTAGTCAAAGAAGGATTGTTGCCTTTATCCAAAAGAAACATGCCTATCTGTAAACTATGTATAGCTGGAAAATCAACTAGAAAACCATTTCCTAAAGTAAAGAGAGCAACCGGTATTTTAGATATAATACATTCTGACATTTACCGCTTATTTAATAAGATGGCCCGTGACATTCATGTTATTTTATTATATTTATCGATGATTATTCTCGCTACATGTATGTATACTGAATCTAGCATAAATTGCAAGTAATAGATTTCTTTCGCCTTTTTATTGTAGAGGTTGAAAATCAGTTTGACAGAAGAATTAAGGTTTTTCGCACTGATTGAAGGCGATGATACTTATCAGATCAATTTAAGAAGCTTTGTAAGAATAGGGGAATCTGAAGGCAATAGACGATGTCCTACACTCCGCAACAAAATGGTATTGCAGAAAGAAGAAATCGTACTCTATTGGACATGGTGAGGTCTATGATGACTCATGCCAACTTCTCAATATCATTTTGGGGAGATGCACTCTTTACTGCGATGTATATCATAAACATAGTGCCATCAAAATTCGTTTCCAAGACCCCTTATAAGTTATAGACAAATAGAAAGCCAGATCTTTTCCATTTACGTCCTTGGGGTTCAGCTACACACGTTCACATCCCTTCTCAATTGGCAGGAAACTGGATAGGCGGTATCTCGAGTGCATTTTTGTCAGATATTCTGAGCACTCGAAGGGATATGTGTTCTATCAAGAACGCGATAGTGGCAGAATGAATGAAATAGAATCTCGCAATGTAGGATTTTATATAAATGAAACTCCTAACAGGAAGCGATCTCGTATGTCTGAAGAGCTCTATGAAGAGCCTGAATCTCAAACAAACATTGATGTGATTCCTTTACTTTGATGGTAATAGTGGGAGTTTTCTCATGATTGTCAATGATAGTGAGAGTGAGTCAACGATTGAGAATTAGCAAATGACTCATATTGAGTCACCAACTATGTTAGAGGCACCTATTGAGAGTGAATTGCAAGTCAAACTTCAAAAGAGTCAATGTGAGATAGTTTTTCGTATGCATCTCGAAGTAGAGGGTCTCACATGGAAGATCAATTGGAAACAAATGGGTCTTAAAAATCAAGAGGAAGACAGATAGAACTATAGATAAGCATAAAGCCCGCTTAGTGGCGAAAGGGTTCACCCAAATTGAGGGAGTGGACTACGATGAGACATTCTCCGGTGGTGAGAATGGCCTCGATTCCACCTAATTCTAGCAATCGTCACACATATGGACCTATAATTCTTCCAAATGGATGTGAAGACAGTTTTTCTGAATGGTGACTTGATGGAAGAGATATGTATAGAGCAACCTAGAGGTTTTGTAGCATCTAGCCTTGAGCGCAAAGTATGCAAGCTCAAGAAGTCCATTTATGGTCTCAAGCAGTCATCAAGACAGTGGTATATCAAATTCCATAGGGCTATAATGACTTATGATTTTGAAATGTTTCAAAAAGACCATTGTGTATACATTAAAAAGTATAAGAAAAACATCCAGATATTATCTTTGTATATTGACGATATTTTATTAGCTAAGAATGACCTAGAGCAACTTGCAGCCACAAAGGAGTGGTTGTCCTCCAAATTTGAGATGAAAGACATGGGTGAGGCGAGTTATATTCTCTATGTTAAGATACATCGTGATCGCTCTCAAAGGGTTTTCGCTAACAAGAAACATATATCCAAAGGATTCTTGAGCGATTCCGTATGCAGGACTCAAAACCCATAAATACTCCAGTTGAGCAATGACGTACTATTAGTTTCGACATGTGCCCGCAGATAGAAGCTGAGAGGATCAAAATGTCTCGTGTTCCATATGCAAGTGC